AAGCTGCAGATACCAGAAAACGTTTTGATCCAAAGTTTGTGCTCTCCGCAAGCTAGAAACTGTAAGATTTCACATCCTCTGCCGGCAACCGGCCCGCAGGGCGCTTTAGTCTCGGAAGTCTCAAGTTATCTGTAAACTTAAGTACCTGTAACTGCAAGAGTTGTATATTTGGCTCTACTTTTACCATTTTCGTCGGTCGATATAATGTTTGCTTCTCATGGTGGTTTCTTCTGTAATTATTTGAGGCTTTAAATCTCAGTCTACTAAACATGTCAACGGTATTGCGGTTTAAAATTCAATTGTAGAAGTGCAGAAAACCTAACAAATTGACTTCGACATAAAAAAAGCCTAACGAAATGGCTCGGTTAGGCTCTTGCCATAAAGGAAGTCAAAAGGTTTTAATAAGTGCTGCAAATTTTTCTTTAGGAATTTTAATACGGGATTGATTTCTAACACCTAACTTTTGCATCTTGTACTTCCCTTTTATTTCGTTCTTGGATTGGATAAATACTCAACTTAAAGAAATAAATTAAGCAGAAGAGGCTAGAAGATAGAGAAGGGAAGTACGAAAGTCACTTTTTTTATATATTTTAAGTGATTAAGTGAAAGTCTTTTATAATCTTGAAGAACTATAGATTTTTCGACTAAATGTAGTCAAAAGTATCTTTAGTTATCAATAAGATGTAAAACACGAATTTTATGGCATTTGACATATCTCATGTGATGTACTAAAACCTTTTTTTTTGGTAAAAATGTACTAAAACCTTTGACAGTAGGTTGAATGAGTTTGATTTACATATATATATATATATATATATATATATATATATATGCCATGATATGAAATAAAAGTACAAGTGCTCTTAGAGCATCTCCTAGGAACTTCTATTACCACCTTTAAAGACTTATGTAGGTACTAAAGAGAATCTTCGAGGTTATGTATAATAAAAAAGTCCATATAGTATAAATCCTAAATTTGAGAACTATATAATAAAAAACTCTAAGTTAAATCTAGACGATTTATTTATGGTAAAAAAAAATGTGAGGCCCAACCTGTAGGTGCGTCAACAGTGGTCTGGCGACTAGCATCCACACGCTGCTAGAGCAAGTGGATGAGCTGCAACATCGCTCAAACCCAATTTTTGGAAGAAGCATGCAACCTTTTATGTGGGTGGGCCTCCATCCCCATCCAAAGTTGTCCCTATTTATAGTCCTCAAATGTGAGGAAACTTTTGAGTACTCCCGCCAATCCCTATACTATAGGGGACTAGAACTCTGCCAAGCCACAAAGTCTCTAAATTTAAAGACATATGGTGATAGACAGTGGTAAGGATTATGGGACTTCATTAGAGATGTTTTTAGAAAAGCACTTGAAGTGCTCCATGTAAAAAACGTCTAACTGTGCTTCTTATAGAAAACACATTAGATAATTTTAAAACTCCAAAACATTTTTTCTTAGTGATTTTAAAACACTTCCAAACAATCGTTTTTTTTTTTTATACCAATTTTACGTTAAATAGAACATTATTGGATTATCGACCAAAAAAAAAGGAACTTTATTGGATTATCCAAGCTTAAATAAAACATGTCGGTCACACGTGCGAACGACAAGTGACGTGCAAACCCAAACACAGGTGGCCAATGGCCGTGATGGACGGAGAAAACACAGTCAGAAATCTCGAAATCTAAAAAACCAAAAAAAAGCGATCTTCCTTCTCTCGTCTTCCCTGCAGTCTCTGCAATCCCGGACAAACCACGTTGGACCAATTATTCTCTGCTATTAATTTTCGAGAGAGAGAAAGAGGAGAGAGAGAGAGTGATTTCTAGGCATAAATATTCATGTTTGTACGAGTGACTGAATGAGAACTCCGCCTTCTCTGCTATCTCTCACTATTGACTTAGCTGTCCTCAACCTCCCCAGTATATCCGATCTCTCTCCTCTCCCTGACCACATCCTCCTCGATCTCTTCCTGGTACTCTCTCTACCCTCCTCTATTTCTTCATTCATTCATTATTTTCACCTTACATGACCGATTGGTAATTTGGCATTCTTGTTCTTGATTTTACCGCGAAAGTAACTTTCTTTAGGGTCTCAAATGGATTGTTTGTTTTATTGTGGACATGGGCAGGCTTGATTTGGTGAGATATGAATTGGGTTTGTCTTAATTTTTGAAATTTTTATGTCAATCGACGTGGGTTGAAATTAATTGCTGATTCGCATGATTTGGGGATTTTAGGGATTTCTACCTCTTTTGGATTTTAGGTTTGTTTTGTAATAGCATATGTATGTTGTCATCCTGCATACATTTACTGAATTATTTCTTTTAAAGACCGTTTATCTGTCTAATCTTTTATGGTAAAGAATGTTGAATGTGTTAGCTTCCCGGATATTGGAGTGCTACCTGTATCATGTAAATTTGATGACTTTATCAATGTTTATATTCGATCTGTTCGTCGTGTAGCTCCACATGGACAATCATGGGACAGATGTGGACTGCCTATGATCAAGATTGTTGTGTTTCCTGCAATTTGTTGTAAAAAATTGCTCTCATTGATCACTAGTGGATAATGTCGATTTAGCAGAGAGAAAATAACATCATCCCCACCCTCAGCCCCCAACCGATCCCTCTCCCCATTGTGAAAGATCAGCAAGGTGTTCTGTGTTTGTTACGTTGTGAAACGTTGTGCTTGATGAGAATTATAGATTGAAATTTCAGATTTAGCTGAAATTGAAAAATAGTGTTTGATTGTTTGATTCTAATCAAGAGACCTTCGTCATTTTGGCTTTCTAAGGTCTCTGTTTGCCTTCTGCTTTCATGTATGATTATGCATTTGGTATATGGGAATAGTAATGTTCAGTTTAATGGCAGAAAACTTTGAGAGCAGGAAAGCTAAATGAGAAAGTGTTGAAGCTGTTTGTAGCAACTGGCAAGGAAGAAGTACTTTCACTAATCCGGGCACTTAATATTCGGCAGACCCTTACCCCTGTCCTTCCTACCAGTAAGTTTTGTTTGAAAATTTCCAGTGTCCTTCCTTTCCTGTAATATTTTGAAACCGATTTTGGCAGCCTTCTTCTGACCTACAATAATATCTCTTGCAGGATGCTCTGAAAAGTTTTGAGATTGGGTGTTATTGTGTGAGCAGAGTATATAACTTTTGGAAGACAAAGATCAACTAATTAAACAAGCACGTGCAAGTTTTGTTGTTTTTCTCTCCCAACTCCTGTTTGAAGATGTCTGACACAAGCATCAACCCCAGTGAGGTTGACATCGTGGTTGCAGCAATCAACTCCGACCTGACTCCATTCTTGAATGAATGGAGACCAATATTCTCCCCATTCCATCTGATTATTGTCAAAGACCCTGATATGGATGGGGAGCTCCATGTTCCAGAAGGATTTAACGTGGATGTCTTTACCAAATCTGACATAAATCGGATGGTGGGCTCTTCTCATTCCATTCTCTTCTCTGGTTACTCATGCAGGTATTTTGGTTACCTGGTCTCAAGGAAAAAATATATTATCTCAATTGATGATGACTGCATCCCGGCTAAGGACAACAATGGTCATATAGTAGATGTGGTGGCACAGCATATTACCAATCTCAAAGCTCCAGCTACCCCATTCTTTTTTAACACACTCTATGATCCGTATCGGAAGGGAGCAGATTTTGTTCGTGGTTACCCATTTAGCCTGAGGAGTGGGGTTACATGTGCGCTATCATGTGGACTGTGGCTCAATTTGGCAGACTATGATGCACCAACACAGGCCCTCAAGCCAGAGCAGAGGAATTCTCGATATGTGGATGCTGTAATGACTGTTCCGGTGAGATCTTTAATGCCTGTAAGTGGAATAAACATTGCTTTTGATCGTGAGGTGGTAGGGCCAGCTTTGTTCCCGGCTTTGAGGTTGTCAGCGGAAGGAAAGATCAGGTGGGAGACAGTGGAAGATATATGGTCTGGAATGTGTGTAAAGGTCATATGCGATCACCTGGGAATTGGCGTAAAAACTGGGATACCTTATGTATGGAGAAAGGAAAGAGGTGATGCCATTGAAAGCTTGAAGAAAGAGTGGGAGGGTGTGAAGCTGATGGAGGAAGTGGTTCCTTTCTTTCAGTCAGTTAGGTTGCCACGATCAGCCGTGACAGCAGAAGACTGTGTTGTCGACATGGCAAGGGCGGTGAAGGAGCAGTTGGGAAAGGTAGATCCTATGTTTGCTCGTGCAGGTGATGCCATGGCGGATTGGGTGAAGCTCTGGAAGTCGGTGGGATCCAGCGCACCGGAAGTTTAATGCCTGAATTCTGATTCAGCCTCTTCTGTTTTATTCCTTCTTTATTTGATACAGAATTTTCTAAGCTTCTAATGTTGATCTCCCTTGTAGACTGACTGATGATGAGATTATATGTGGGTGAAAATAATTGATACCTTGTTTGTTGTTGTTTTCATGAAGATGGTTTATATAATTTGGTCTTTTATGTTTTTCTAATGACTATTTTTCTAATAGAAGCAATTGTACTGTACTAAGTTAATCTAAACTACGGGGAGGGGAATATCAGACCGGTAGGACTAAACACAAAAGCTGATCCGAACAAGCACGTAGAAGTACATATTTAACAATGGGAAGTGATTTTAGTGTATCATTTTTCTTTTCTTTTCTCGATTGACCTCACAGTGGGCTTGTCATAATAATTTGGTTCGAATTAGACTTTTGGTAAGAATTGAACTTAAGATTTCTAATTTATAAGTGAAGAGAATTATCATTAGACTGTAATACTAAGCAATTATTTTAGGCCTTTTAGATTGAATAAATCATAATAGAATAAAGGGAGAGAAATAAACATGGAGTGCAAAGACAAAAAAGGACATGCGAAAATCATTTCACCAAACGATAAACCGTCAGAAAACATGTACCAAAGTTAGCAGCTTACTCATACGAGAAACAAAATACATAGCTCGATTTCTTTCACGCTCCGGCCTTGAAAAACAAATGACCTGCTGACCAGTTAGCAGCTCACTCTGAAACTATAAACGTCACTCTTTTCTGTTAGTTGGCTACTCAGAGAGTATTCCGGGTCCAAATATCCAAATGTTCCTCGTGCTAACGTAGTTAAGTGACTCTCATCGATCCAAATAAGCCTCGAAGTTCCAAAGTTGGAGATCTTTGCCGTGTAATCCTCATCCAGCAATATATTCGCAGTCTTCACGTCTCTATGTATGATAGCATTGATAGGTATGTAAGTTTCCGAGTGTAAGTGCAAAAGAGCTCCTGAAATCTTTATCGCAACTTTAAGACATGTTTGACACGAAAGAACCGAGGAAGAATATCCTTGCTTCCGATCATAAATGTGGCTGTAAAGATTCCCGTTCGTGATGGACTTGTACACAAGTAAGGGCACCCCCGTCTCCAAACAACAGCCTAAAAGCTTAACCACATTACGATGGTTTATCCAAGAAAGCACGATCACCGTGTTAACTGATAGAACTCCTTTGTAAACTGTTCCAAAACTTCCTTGGCCATGGACATTGTTTTTATCATAATTGTTCATGGCCTTTTCTAGTTCCTCCGCGCTAAAAATTTCGTCTCAACGGGTTCTCTATGATCGGAGAGTTGTTGTAGCAATAGCCCACCATTTTGTTTGAGCTTCATGCACCTTCTTCTCTTTATTCCCCAATAAATCCATAAACAGTCCCTATAACCGCCAAAAGGCATTGGCAAATGTATGCCTGAGCAAATTCTGAAAATGCTTATGATTTCGTTTTTTGAGAAGAGGACGGGCACAATGTCATGACTAAATATCTTAACCCACATATTTGAGAAATGTTAGTATTCAAATCAGACGAGCAAATCCTTCATCCTATTATCATATCATAAACTGCTACATGTAAGAAGCAAACGAATATAATCAAATTAAAGTACTTAATTACCTATTGCAATAGCAAGCCTTCTAAATGCAGTATCATCGTTTCGGACGCAACCTTTTTCATTTGTCAATCCATCCCCCTTGAATCCTTTTCGACATTTGCATTTTACGTCTCCAACCAAGTCTCTCTCTTGTGAAAGTCTAGAAGATCTGAAGACGAGAAGTTGTATTCATCAACTTCTACAACAAAGAATAATCGCACGGATGGCTATGTTGGAGTTAGGGAAATATGGTTGTCGTCGTCCGCTTTCTCTACTGTTACAAGCAATGAGAAAAGTTTATTCTAGAGATCTTTCAAAAGGATTGGGAATGTCGGTAAGATTGCCATAATTGCTTGAGCATCCGGGCATCACCATGATGATCATCATCATCATCCGGACTACTCGTTCGTGTTCTCTTGTTATCTTCGGTTATATAAGAACATTTAGTTTTCACACATCCCATTTTACTTTTCACACACCCTTCTAAGTTTCGGCCGTCGGATCGGATGAATTAAAAAAATCAACGGATAGAAATTAACGAGGGATGTGTAAGAAAAAAAATGAGGTGTGTGGATAGCACACCCCATGTATTTAATATTTACCGACTGAGAAAGAAACATGGACCCTTCCTAACCCGCTCACTGACAGACTAGAAGTTTAACAAACCTTATTCCTCTTTACTTGTAAACGAGAGGCTTTAGGTTTGAATCTCGTGGATGGCAAATTCAATACTAAATTAGGTTGCTCATTGTGTGGCTTTGCTGAACTCCCTCTAATTTAAAATATATTGTTGTATTAAAAAAAAAAACCCTATGTTTTTTATTTATTTAATTAAGTTTTTTATATAACGAGACCATTCATGAAATTTGAACTTACCTTCCATGATTACAAATGAAAAAAAAATATCATTAAACTATAGTCGTTTCGTAAAGAATATTATGGCGCCTAACCCGAGCTAGCCAACTTCTGAAATCAGATGTACAAGGCATAGTGGAGCATATCCATAGGATAACTACCTTCTTTTATCGAATAGTTGGTATAGATAGCAAATTAATTAAAGATTAATATTTAATTGAAAAAAAAAAGATTAATATTATTTATTAAAGACTTTGGGTGGAAATTTATATATAGATAAAAGAAAATGAACATATTCTTGGAGAGGTTACTTTCCAGAAGGGTTCAAAATCAATAATAAATCAAGGGAGAATCAAAATCAATAAATTAAATCCTGTATGAAGGCAACATTAAAACTTAAACGTTTACAGTTAAGTGTCAATTAAACCATGATATTCATCTTATTTGCTGAGCATTAAGTTAAGTGGCATATATAATACAAGCAATCGGAAAGTAGGGGAGAATCGAATTCGACACTCAGGTCTCAAGTTCAAGGATAAAAGCTCTTAACAAACTGAACAACAAAGTCTCTTCCTTCTAGCTTAGTGTTTAGGACGAACCATTTTTAGCTATATAGCCTGTGGCCCCTGTATTATATAAGTCATGTCTAAGAACAGCGCCTACTATTTTTACTAATTAATTAGCATTTGGCAAATCCTCAGAGTAATTTAGTGACAACATTAGTGAATCCCATTTCTTACTGACTGGGTCGTCCGATCGACCGTTAAAAGACCAATTTTCTAGCCAACCATTTACGGAAAATACTCCTCCATGCAATTTGCATGCATGCACATCCACACCATCTCACTTCTCTTGCTTCTTTATATACTTGGCTTCCTGCAATCTCTTACAAATTCAGTACAAGAATTAAGAAGCAAATCAACATTAATTAAGGATCGAAAAACAACGATGGCAAGCTTAACTAGTCTGTTTACCACCGTCCCCAAATCCGGCCTTGTCGGAGCATCCGTTGCAAGGAACGCCACTTCAACCCCTAGGATTTTTTTGGCTGCAGCCCCTAGACGTATTCAAGTAAGTATAAATTATATCACTAAACATGTCCCGATTTTATTGTTGTATTTTTTTTGTTTATACAAGCGGTACTAAGGGAGGGGGAATTGAACTCGGAGCCTCGGTTGCAATTTAGTGGACTTGATGACATTACATGTATAGAAGAACAATTAATTTGGTTCATGATCGCAGGCAAGTTCACAGCAAGATGCAGCTGCAGAAGTCAATGAAACTAGGAATGCTGCTGAAAATGTAAAAACAAGACTTACTCTACTGCGTAGCATGTAATTAACCACAAATTTCTCGGGAAATTTATAGTATTGACGATTCATCGCGTGATTCCAGGTTTCACAGACAGCCAAAGACATGGCCAGCAAGGTGTCAGCAACCGCACAAGATGTGTCTGAGAAAGCAAAGCAGACAGCACAAGATGCATGGAGCCAAGCTAAGGGCACCGCCCAGAAGGCGGCAGACACTGTCATGGGCAAGGCCGACGAATCCAAGGAATTCGTCAAAGAAAATGCTGAGCAGGTCAAGAAAAGCATGAATACCAAGAAAGAGACCATATAATTCGTCCTGTCCCTTGTTCATATTTCATATGTTAACCCTCCTTTTCAAAATTGTGTTATGTACGTATTTCCCGTTTCAAATGTATCCACTATGGGAGAGAGACTTACCTACATTACCGGGTGTGTTTTAGATTAATAACATGATGGCATGTTTTAGCCTCGTATAATTGGTCTGGAATACCACCATCTTAGGGTTTCACGTAAGTCCTTCTCCCGTTGTTGAGATATTTTGTTCCTTTTTTCGTTTTTTTATTTTATTTTGTTAAATTGGGATATTGTTCCTTACACTGCAAGAAAGTGTTTGGTCTCTCTCTTGTATCAAATGTAAAGGAAATTCCAGTGTCAATAAATCCTTCCCAATTATCTGTACAAATAGTTCAAAGCTGTTATTGTTTTGAGTTTTTTTCATTCTCAGTTTCTAAATAATTTAGATTCATGAGCGGCCACTCCTTGGCACAACCACAACCTGAGAAAAATAAGGCATTACGGGTTGCTGTAACCATTCACTAGAACCGAAAGCAAGCGAATTTTCGCAAATGCGTGCCTTATAGATGCGAGATTTATCATCAGCCAACACATGAGCCAAATGTTATAGAAACAGATAGCGCGCGGAAATTGAAAAACATAACAGAAGGAAAAATGTTCAGAAGAAAAAAAAGCATCTCATCCTCTCCCCGCAGAAGGAAAGATGTTCTGCAGGAGCAGCAATTCAAGCTTCACCTACCTTGACCTTTCTTTGCATCCTAACTCAACAAGGAAATTCAAACCGACACTAGACGGATTATCAATGGAGTATTACAGGAAACTAGTTGTTGGAAATTCTAATTAACAAAGAAACATAAAAGGAAAAGGGAAATCAGATGTCACCTGATCCTAGTCTACCCGAAGCTGCTCCATTTTAGCAAATACTAGGTTTAATTCGAAGGGAGACACCAACTGCTGGAACATGCTTAGCAGCACTCGAATCAAACCCGAGGATTTGAAACACAAAAATTATATACCAGAAAGCAATCAGAACTCTGCCAAAAATCAAACCCCCTAACCTGAGAGCAAGAAGGAGCCAAACCAACCAAACGGAAATCCTAACTTAACCAGGAAAATTCAAACCAAATCCTAAACAAATTAATTATCTACCGAATATTAAAAGGAACAAGGCATCCTAAATCGTCCAGGAAAACTTTTAAGTAACAAAGAAACATAAAAGCGGATGTATATTCTAATTTAAGGAAAATCAAACCAAACTCTAAATTAGGAGTTCCAACATCACGTGGAGTCTTAACTACATGAGGATGAATGTGCCTGACTATATAATATCGAATATAATCTGTTAATCTCAAAACAGAAAAACTACATTGATTTGTTATTACGAACAAGTATTCTATTTTTCCAAGCGGAGAGAGGGTGACATGCTTTCGATGGAGGAGGTGAGGCAATGGAGGAGACGGGGTATCCTCGGAGTTTTATCAGTCGCACTACTGGGTTTGCTCTTCTTCCTCCACAATAATAATGGTGCTTCTGAGACGATAACGATTTCTGGAAGGCGAGCACTCAGGAGTGTTAATGGTAATGAGCTCAACTTCAACCAGATGCTAACACAACAAACTCATAACACGGTGGAGCTGAACAATGGCATTGTCAGAGTCACTTTTTCTTATCCTGGAGGAGATGTCACTGGAATTCAATACAAGGGAATTGACAACTTGCTCGAAATCAAAAACCCCCCAAGCAATAGAGGTTACTGGGATCTTGTCTCGAAAAATGGCTTGGACAGACTACAAGGAACAACATTTAAGATTGTTACATCGACAGCAGACCAAATAGAGATTTCTTTTAATAAAACTTATGATATTTCCCTCGGTGATTCGACGCTACCCTTAAATGTTGACAAAAGATACATAATGCAGCGTGGCCGCGCTGGGTTCTATGCATATGCCATATATGAGCGTCTAGAAGGGTGGCCGGAATTGCACCTAGGTCAAACAAGACTGGTTTTGAAACTTCGAGAAGATAAATTTCAATTCATGGCTGTATCAGACGACAGACGAAGATTCATGCCAACAGCCAAAGATCGCGATGGAGACCACGCTCAGGCCCTTGCCTATCGCGAAGCTGTTCTTTTAACTAATCCAAGCAATCCCGAGTTTAAAGGAGAGGTGGATGACAAATACCAATACTCCAATGACATCAAAGACATCAAGGTTCACGGTTGGATTAGCACTGACGATGCTATAGGTCTTTGGATGATCACACCTAGTACTGAGTTTCGTTCAGCAGGGCCGTTCAAGCAGGAGCTTACCTCTCATGTGGGACCAACTTCCCTCACTGTGTTTCTTAGTAGTCACTACGTCGGGAGAGGTTTTGGACTGACCTGCGCAGAAGGTGAGGCTTGGAAGAAGGTTTTTGGTCCTGTCTTTGTGTATCTTAACTCGGACATTCCAAGCTCGAATGCATCCTTCTCTCTCTGGGAAAATGCAAAGGAACAGATGTATGAAGAAGTAAAGAGTTGGCCGTACAATTTCACTCAGTCCGAAGACTTTCCTAGCTCCGATGAACGTGGATCAGTTGCTGGTCAGTTACTAATACGGGATTCGTACATCCCCGAGGGCCTAGATTCAGCAAGTTATGCTTATGTGGGATTGGCTGCACGCGGATACGCGGGATCATGGCAAATGGAATGCAAGGGTTATCAGTTCTGGACTCAAGCTGACAAGCAAGGTTATTTCTACATAAAAGATGTTCGACCGGGGAACTATAGTTTGTATGCAACTGTTCCCGGCTTCATTGGGGACTACAAGTACGAGTATGATATTACAATTGAACCAGCAAGTGAAATTAACTTAGCTAATATTACCTTCGAACCTCCGAGAAATGGTCCAACCTTGTGGGAGATTGGCATCCCGGATCGGTCAGCCGCAGAGTTCAACATACCGGATCCATATCCAACCCTTGTGAACCGTTTCTTCACTGACAATTACGCAAACAAGTTTAGGCAATATGGCTTGTGGGAACGATACGGAGATTACTACCCTGACCATGATCTCATCTACACCGTCGGCACAGACAATTACAATGATGATTGGTTTTACGCTCATGTGACAAGAAACAGAAACGGTACATACGAGGCGACGACATGGCAAATTGTATTTCAACTTGAAGACGTTTGGACCGGTGATTATACGCTCCAATTGGCATTGGCTTCGGCAACCTATGCTGAACTGGAGGTTCGATTCAACAACCAGAACGACACACCTCATTTTTCGACAGGGCTAATAGGGAAGGACAATGCCATAGCAAGGCATGGAATTCATGGTTTGTACTGGCTTTTCAGTGTTGATGTGCCGAGCTATCGACTACAAGAAGGATACAACACCATATACCTTACTCAATCAAGAAACTGGGGACCTTTCGCCGGAGTTATGTACGACTACATCCGACTGGAAGGACCTCCACCAGAGTGATTGTACTTTTATGTATTACACTTCTATAGTAAATACGATTTACGATTTCTTTCATATTTGGTTTAAATGAGAACTTCAAATATACAATGTTTTGATAAGCTAAAGGCAAACTTGACGCAAAATTCAACGCAATAACGTTCTAAAATTCATACAGCTGACCTCACTTAACGAGACTAAGCTTGATTGTTGTATAATTTTAATTTCTTCCATATTTGTTTCAAATTTGTTTCATATTTATTTCAAATTAGAACTTTATAAATACAAAGCTTCGATAAGTTAATAACAAAATTATAAGCAGAAAATATATCGTTAGAAAAAACAGCCCCAACGAGCCCTTTAATCTAAAAGGGGGCATACGTGCAAAATTATCATCGTCCAGTAGAGTATATTACATCATATGGAACATACGAACCATAACCTTTAAGAAACAAAAACAGCGGAAATCGAAAAACGTAACAGGAGAAAATGCTTGGAAGAACAGGGAACATATCATTCGCTGCCGCTGTCGTCGTCAGGCCCTGCTGCATCTTTAATATCAAGAGTGAAATCATATTCCTGATCGCATCCCAAATATGAATCACACATGAAATAAAGAATGAAACTCTTCTCTCCGGGTTCGGCAGGAGCAGCAAACTCGAGCTTCACCTTGGCCCTCCGTTGCAGCGAAACTCTCTTGATGGCGAGCAACGAGTTTGTCTTGGTATCGCCGACCACAAGCCACCAGCCCTCTTCTTTTGCCTTGGGATACCTCAGGGCATCCACAGGACCTACCTCAGTCCTCCCTTCAAGGTCACGTTCGAGAGTAACTAGCAGAGTGATTTCTTCCCCGGCCCTTATGTTATCCCTATCAAGCACCTCATATACCATATCAATGTTGGGAAAGCGGTTGCAAAATCGTGCAATATCCAGCAGCTGCGAGTCTGACATTTGAAGTAGGTCGCGCCTTTCATCATCGTCCAACTCAACCAAATCAAACACTGTCTCTATACTCTTTCCTGGATTTTCCTGGCATCTCTTTGCCAACTCCTTTGTGAAGTGAGGAAGCTGTAGAAGCATCGAGTCCCTGTCCCACATGCCCTGAGTCACCATCTGGCTGACTTCCATGGCTAAGACAGCAAGGCTTAGCCAGCCATTGCTGGAAATGACATCAACCATCGCCTGAAGCAACCTACTAGCGGAAAGGATCACCTCTCGCTGGTCCAAAGCTAGGTTACCACCCAGAGGCTGCCTAGCAAAGTGGGCCTGAAGCAGAGCATTTGCTTTAACATGAGGATCTGTGCATTTGGGACTATCAAAGGAAAACCTCTGGTGGTTAATTAGCCTCCGAACTACCTCTTCCTCCCCTGGTCGAATAGGAAGTTGTGAATACTCCGAAGCGTGAGTTAGAATCTCAAGAAGACCCTTCATCTTTGTTTTGGAAGTTAAAGACGAACTGAAACGCTCAATGGTGGTATAACTGATGTAATAGTATGAAGCTATCATGCCAAGATTCAAAGGAGAGAGGTCCATGTCATCCTCAATTGCAACACACTTGCTTGCCTCCAAGTCGCTCAGTGTATTTTCAATAAGCTCCGAGAGGTGATCAGAAAGATGCCGCTGAGTAACTCCCTGCAGATTGTAATAGTTGGGATTTTGTGTGAGCCTCCGGTACAAGAAAGTCCATGTAAGGTAATCGACAGCATCTTGCTTGTTCTCAATTATTCCTGCAACAACTTCTGCATTCAGATTATCATGTAGATAATGGTGCAAATGGCTTTCAACAGGGAATGCTTCGTACAAGAACTTCTTGTAGTATTCTTTACGAGGCGCGTGGCAGAGGATGACACATTTCCCAGAATTATCTAGCAGAGGGCGACTAGCATGACCCATCATCTGCAACAGATCAGTAACAGGGTAATCAGTGTGAACATTTTCCCGGCCATCATAATACTGAGTTCCCATCACAACCACCAAATGGGCTGACAACGGCACTCCCCAGCACATTGAACTGCTCATGACACAAACTTGAATCCACCCAGCTTCAAACAGCTGTGACACAACTTCTTGGTCCAAACTGCTTAAACCTTCATGCAGGTAGCCCACTCCACTGCGCAAAGTGCCTTTCAAAATTTCATCACCAAGTCTTTCAATGAAAGGCTCAATATCATCCACAGACCGCAACAGAAATGACGGTTTCTCCCCACCATCTGCATTTGAGTAGGTCATCAGATCCACAGCCGTTAGTCGAACATGTTTCCTTGTAGGAACATAAACAAGAGCTGGTTTCCCATTCTTGGCATGCTGGACAATTGCTGTGTATGTGGGTTTTGCCATTGCTTGCATCCTGGCTTCGAAATTAGCCAGATCCACCCCCTGAATGTGTATTTCCAGAGGCACTGGGCGCACACCAGGAGGAAAATTGAAAAGGCCATGAGAGCTAGCCCCTATCCATTCTCCAAGATCCTTTGCATTTGCAAGAGAAGTTGACAGAGCCACAATACGAATCTTGTTCTCAGGTTGACTCGCTATGTATCTCATTCTAGAGACTATTACCTCCAAGATGGGACCACCCTGACCACCAATCAAGTGGAGTTCATCTACAATAAAAAGACTAACCTGTTGAACATGCTTTCTCTGTTTCCAGCGGCGGGATAAAGCATCCCATTTCTCTGGAGTGCTGATGATAATCTGACCTTTCTCAAGCAGTTTTAAGTCTGTGGCTGTTTCCCCTGTTAATAATTCAACACGCAGATTGAGACCCTTTCCAAACTTCTTCTCCCAGTCACGGTAACGTTCCTTAGCAAGAGCTTCAATAGGTGCAATATACACAACACGCATGACATTATCAGAGCCCTTCTGATGATTCCTCAATACAGCAAACTCTGCACATATGGTCTTCCCACTCCCTGTTGGTGCAGCAACCAAGACATTGTCATCTGAATTGTACAAAACAGTGAAAACCTGAGTTTGAACAGGATTGAAATGCTTGAAATCTTGATACAGAGCTTCATATAAGGGATTCCTTAATGCAGTCACGGGAAGTGGTTGCAAGTCCAATAACTCTGTTGGTGGAGGATACTTTTCAGGTAAAATGAGGTGTCTGAAAGAAACAGGTAAAACAGTCTGGGACCCAAGCCACCTATCAGACACAACACGAATGAAGTACTGAGGCGGAAGAGGCTCATATATTGGCACTGTAAAGTTCAAAGTATGATCCTCATCAATATACTGCTTCTTCAGAAGAAAATATTCATGATGAAGGACAAACTCGCCATCATTATCCTCCACTATTACCCAAAATGGCTCCACATATCCATGAACTTTGTCCTCCCATTGGAAATCTGGTGTTATAGTGAGCTCCACCCTCAATACAGTGCGAGTAATCGGCTGCACATGGGCTGCAAGGTTTAATTTGGGGAATTGGTGGATGAACTTATGAAGTGTTCTTCCCATCTTTGGCATACGAATAAGCTCCCCTAGCTCCTGTGAAGATAGATCATAATACCTATCCCAGGCCAAATCCTTCTTCTCCAGCTTCATCAAAATATCATTTGAAATACCAGTGAATTGGCGAAGAGGTGTTTGGACACTCCACATCTTCTTGTTAACCATCTTACACATGTTCAAAGCCTTTTCAGCTAGTTGAGCCCATCCTCGTTTCAAGACAATCTCAAAAAGAGCTCGTAGAAGACGCCCTGCACTCTGAACAAATCCAAAGCCGAAAAAAAAGAAGCAGAAAAATGAACAACAGGATAAGAGAGACAAAATAAATACGTAAGCTAGAACAAGCTGGCAGCACAATCCTAACTGTATCTCAAACAATAAATGAGAAAAGAGCATGAAATATAATAATACAAACCTGAGTAATGTAGACCATATCTGATGTCAACGAAAGCCCCTCAAGCTTCAGCTGTGAGATATATGCTTGCAGCAAGACATTGATCTTGGCACTGGGCTCTTCCAGGCTTTCCTTCACCGGAATGGGAACACGATCCAAAAGCTTTGCTAACTCCATCTTTTCATCCTGCCGCACAGTAACATACTTAAATTCTTCACTGAGTGAGAACAATCGACAAAGCTCAATATCCCCCATCGTAGGCTTCAAATGCTCATTATATGTGGATATTGTTCCATGAGTTATATAGTAATAACTCGCAATGCGACCCAAGTCTGTAACTTGGAAATATCCACTTTTTCTGTCGTACTTAATCAAATTATTCTTGTCCAAGATGGTTGCAGCGGAATGGATCTGCAAAATGAAATGGTTGAGACAAAATGAGAGATCCATAAGAAATACAGAATGCAGGAATCCAGATAAATGCTACGAAGTGCCACAGCAATGATAAGAACAGAATGGACGAGAACTAAATGAGTCCAAGAGAAACCAGATAGAATTAAAGATGACAAATATCAAAACCCAAAAACCATCATGGTCAACACAGACTCAAATGCCATAAAATATCTAATAGAATGGGACAAGCAAATTCCTATAACCAATACTACTTTTTGACATTACTGTGTCAAGCCCCTTATGTTCGCGTGTTTCCTCTCCATTGATATGCACTTGTTTGTTATCTAGTGCAATTAAGAATATGGTTATATACTATACTACTATTACTAATGCTGCAAGGGAATGAAAATATCAACAGCAAATAATGCTAAGTTTGAGCGATTCTTACCAAATCAGCTCGTCTCTCCTCCAATGTAATATCTCTGGAGAGAACATCAGCTTCCAAACCATAGAGTGTGGGGTTCCGTAGCATGCGAACATACAGGTAAGTGTATCCTATCCAATTGCAAGCTTCTCTAGCATTTTGAACAGTTCCAAGAACGATTTCAGCATTAAGTTGGTCAGCCAATTTGGATATGAATTGACTTTCAATGGGAAGCTGTTGGTTCATCAAAGAAAGATAGTACTGAAGCTCATTGTGGCCAGTAATGATAATCCCTTCTCCATACGAATCGTACTGAGGTCTACCTGCACGCCCCAACATCTGCATGACATCCAAAGGACTTAGTTCAGTCCATGCTCCCTTTTCTGGATCATAGATCTGAGTCCCTTTGATTATCACAGTGTGAGCTGGCAGATTCACGCCCCAAGCAAGTGTTGCTGTTGAAACCAAAACTTGTACGTGCCCATCAGCAAAGAGATCCTCAACCAGTTGGCGATCTGCCCTGTTCAATCCAGCATGATGAATGGCAAAACCGTACGGCAGAAGATCTTTGAGATCATTGCTCTTGACCAAATCTGTATGAGTAGTTAGAATCTCTCGGCTAGCACTGTCTTCTTTAAGAAACCTGCCAAGGGTGTCCTTGGCAAGAGCAGTATCTCTTATAGCACGAGCTGTTTTGGCTGTTTCTTTCCTCGAATGGACAAAGATAAGGACTTGATGTTTTCCAGCTACAGCTACGACCTTCTCATAGCAGAGATCATTCATCAACTGGAACCTCTGTAATGGTTTCCTCACCATGATTCCAATATACTGTTGAGATAGGGGGACAGGTCTGTAACTGTTATCAAAATAAAACAGTCCCTTCTTAAGGTCAACACGCAAGAACAATGCCACATCTTCGTAGTTAGGGAGAGTAGCAGATAACCCCACCAACCGAATATGATCTTTCGTGGTCTCAATCTGCCTAACAGTTCTAGCAACAATACTTTCAAGAACGGGGCCTCTATTATCATGAAGGAGATGAATTTCATCAATGATAAGAAGTTTGACCAGTTGAGTGTAAGTCCGGTCTCCTGACTTTCGGGTAATGATATCCCACTTCTCAGGGGTTGTCACAATAATTTGAGTTTCTTCAATCTGTTGGCGAGTCAATGTCTGGTCACCACTTAGCTCCCGCACATTGACACCATAATCCTTCAAACGATTAGAAAGATTTCCAACAACTTCCGCAACAAGAGCTTTCATAGGCGCAACATATACAATCTTATAATCACTGTGGTTTATGGAACCGTCCTCCTTGTTCATGTTCAGCGCAAACTGCTGAAGTATAGTGAGCACTGCAACATTAGTTTTTCCAGCACCAGTAGGAGCACATAGCAGGATATTGTCCGCTTTGAAAAGGGCAGTCTCATAGACTCTACTCTGTACCCTGTTCAACTGGGTCATTCCTTTGAAAGCCGGCTGAGCCCACTCTGGCATGGCAGATATGTTTACAAGCTTCTCATCAGGATTAAATGGTCTCTGTTTCAAGGCTGGCACATGGATTTCTTCATATCCCTTGCTGGGATGTCTGTAAGACCCATCTGGAAGCACGCACTTCTTCGACACCAAAAGTCTACTTTGCTCTTGTGCAAGGCTGTCAAGATCAAGTAGCTCTGCCTGCCCCTTCAACCAACCACTGTCAGCATCTCTATCGACAAGGCCCCTCCTAACCCTGTCTCCATCTCCACCACTCTCATCCTTCAACCTGCGAGCCTCTTCTCTAATACTCTTCTCCAAGTTCTTTTGCCTCTCCTTTGCACTAGCCCTTGTGGCATGCAGCTGTTCTACAATTGCAGTCAAATCTGGACCCAACTGCAGCATTTCCTCCTCAATTTTCTTCCTCTCATCTTGGTCTTCGGCTCTGGCCAAACGCGTGCACCAGACAATCTTCAGCCTGTTTCGACATAGAAACTTAATAAGGCTGAATTTGTCAAACTGAAGGTGAACCAACAGCTTGGTTTCAACTTCCCTGTCATCACCTTCAGCGAGTATCTTGAGCACCTCTTCAGCAAGCTTCTGGCATTGTTGTGGATCGATCTGTTTCTCATAAGCTTCAGATATCTTCCTCTGAAGCCAATAAGCATCAATGTCCTGAACATTAAGGCCCATACCCTCGTTTGCTTCCTGCATTTCATCATCATCAATCCCACCACCCATTTGCATAGCCCCAGATTGATGTGGTTCAGCCACATCATCGTCGTCCTCTTCGTCGTCCTCCTGGACCATATCAAGATCACTCTCCTCATCATCATCTTCATTTTCTTCAAACTCAACCGCAACACCCACATCATCATCTAAGGCTTCATCACCATTAGCCACGGCAGACCCTCCAGCATCACCCCCATCTTGGAAGTCAGTAATCAACCTCCCAATTGAAACCAACTGATCAAAGACGGTGTTGGGTATAGGATTCAACATTTTCTCAATCTCCTTTTTCTTATCAGCATTCTTAAAGCTCTCGTTCTTAAGAACGGCCAAAATCTCGTCCGCAGCGCCGCTTATGATACTCGAAGGCTGGCCACCCAGCTGCTGCTGAATGACGCTGAGCATAGCCTCATAGGCAGCCCTCGTTTCCTTGGTCTTAGGCTGATAAACCCCTTCCTCAGTGGCCGTGAGCACGCTCTCTTCATGAAGCCGCCGCTTCTTACTCTGCCGAACTGGAGCAGGTTCAGCATTCGGGTCCCGCTCCTTCTTCTTCTTCGACTTCTTAAGCTTGTCATCGAGCTCCGGCGGCCTTCCCCTGTAAGCCCGGTCACCGAAATGCTTGGGGTCAATCTTTCCCCATAGAGACTCCGGCTCGCCGGTGGGCTCGTGCGTGTCACGTGGGCGAGAGTCGGTGGTCAGCACCAAACTCGAGTTAGCACGGTACTCGTATTGCTTGAACCGGGCGTGCGCCTCCGCACCGCCGCCCAAGTGCTGCGCCATTTCGAGATCTCAATCCGAATCTCAGAAACCCTAATGCACAAATTCAAAACCCCCAAACAAGTCAGTCTAGGGTTTTACTGCAACTCCAATTTCAAATTACGACGAAAACGTAAAATCTGAAATATATATAATACAAGTAAAAAAATAAAGATAAAAATAAAAACCCCAGAAAACGCAAACAGAAACCCTAGCAAAAAACGATGCAGAAAAGTAGAGAAGATGAAAGCACTCACAGCGAGTCGCGGTTTAATTACGAGCGTGCAACCGGTTCTTGTACTCGCTCTCCGTCGTCTCGGACGCCGCCTTCGGAAAGGGTGGCGGCCAGGTTTTTACTATTGGCCAGTTTGAGAGTGTAAACCGAATTTAACGATTGTTTGAATTTCTTCCTCCAATTTTCTTCTTTTTATCTCGGCTTTGATACGCAATTTCCACAGAAATGTGTAGAGAATAGGACCGCCTTGGATTGCTCGGGCCTAATGATGTTTGGTCTGCGTTTAGTTGTCGATGAAGTGTAGGGTTTTGTGGCCCAATATGATTTCTATGTGGTTTGTTTTGATGGCCTTCGGCACACAATTACCCAAAACAAAAAAAACTTTAATTTTCATTTTTTTTCCTCTCTTCTGCATTACTATTATTATGCATGTTTACTAATTAGTAGTTAGAGTGGGATGAATTGAATGGAGATTAATGAACTAAATTGAGGAGAAGTTGGATTGAAAAAGAGTCATAATCATATATTTTGTTGAAGTTATTTGTTAATTTATTAAAATTACAGTATGAATTCGTCTAACTGTGTCTTATAAGTTGTTTACTAATTTTCTTTGATTGAAATTAAAAACTCATACACCCTTTGTGCTTTTTTTTTTGGTTACAAAGGGGCCCAAAGCCCAAGTAGAAATGCTAAACAAGGAAGAACATCAACCCAAAAGGCTTACATAAATAGCCCGAGTCCTAGCAACCCCGGAAATATCATCTAGAAGTAAGCCAACAATTGAAGGAAGAGGGTCATCCAACATATAGCCCAAGTCCAAAGAAAAGCTCAACTTTGCCAAACCATCAGCCACCATATTCCTTTCCCTATAAATATGACTCAAATCACAGTGATCAAATTGAGTAGTCAAATGATTACAGCCATATAACAAATAAGCCAAGGGATGCAACTCATGCCCAGTACATTTGATGAGTGACATGAAAACATCAAAGTTAGATTCTACAAGTATTCTCCTAGCACCCTTATCCAAAGTCATTTTAAACCTAAAAAGAGACCTCACAGCTCGGCTTCAAGAACTTCTCCCACTTTCATATTAGCTGAAAAAACCCCAATCCAAGAGCCCTAATGATCTCTAAGTACTCTTCCTGAACCGATAGCATGGTTTTGCACTTGGCAAGAACCATCAATATTCCAATTTCAACCATCATTTGAAGAAACCCAAGGCAACAACTTTCAAGAATTTTGTGGGGCTTAGAATGACTAACCTTGTTAGCATCAGTCCACTCCCAGGCATACTTCAAAATAGTGTTCACAATGTCAAAGGGAGCTTGATATAATGGATTGAAGACAATACAATTTCTTCACTTCTAAATATTGCAACACGCAAACCAGAAAAGATTACACCATTACAACCCTCGATGAGTAAGAGTTTTACAATGTATGTTAGCACTTAGCAGCAATCCATCTTTCCAAGTCTAAATTGAAAGTAGAGCGGATATTACTAAGAACCTTCAATGAATTCCAAACAACTGTAGCTTTAGAGCACTCCCTCAAAAGATGAATTAAATTTTCATCAGGGCCACCACAAATAGGACAACTAGTATCTAATATGAAAAATTAAATATGTCAAATTAGTAATTTTGATTTAGATATGTCAAATTAAAGTAAATTAATTCAAATAAAAAATTAAATCCATACAATAAAATTAAAATTTTAAAAAATTTACGCTAGAAAATATTTTATTGTGCGAAAGATTAGTATAACAAACAATTGATATAATTAGGTTTTGTGTGATAAAAATTTTCGCCGCACGTTGCATAAATTTATGAGATAAGGACTTTCTAGATGAACCATGTGTCACATTTCAGACCCGACTCAACTCCACCGTAGCACGATATGGTCGACTTTGGGTCCCGACCACGTCCTCACAGTTTTGTTTATGAGAACTCAGACGAGAACTTCCCAATGGGTCATCCATCCTGGGAATGCTTTCGCCTGAACTCTTTTAACTTCAAGTTCCAATGGAACCCGAAGCCAGTAAGTTCCCAAAATACCTTGTGCTACCATGCGCTGCGAATTATTTTTCATCACAATAAGTGTTTTTTGTAGCAGTGGTAATGCAATCTCCCTAGCATTTTTCATATTGTTCAATTAATACACAATTAATCGACCAACTCTTTGACATTCACAAAACGGTATTATGATCGATCGCATAATTTGTTATGTATAAAAGTAAAAATAAATGATTCGGCCCATTGAAGTATAAAGGTGGGCATCATTTTATACCACACTATATATCTAGTAATTAAGAAGACATTAACATATATGCATACAAGAAATGCGACCAAATTATATGCATCCTCCCAACTTTTTATGGTAGATACAATTAAGACTTCATATGTGATTACCTTAATTGCTTAGTAAAAAAAAGACTACCTTAACTGATTCCATTACTAAATGTTATTACAGGAAGATATTAGAAATATATTAGTGAAAACAGTGTCCTATTTTGTCAACTTTATTAGTGAATGCGCTGTAAATTCATGAACTTTATCTGAGTAATTAGCTAGGCTAGACATCTGTAAGTACACTTGTAAATAAAATTTTCCATTTCTGAAATTAGACTTAATTACATGTGTCATTAAATTATTTTATAGATGAGTGCTTTACTTGTGATGTTAATCTATTCGATGCCTTTGTCTTTTCTTGTAGGTATATATAAATAGGACTACAAAGACAAAGCAGTGGAGTACTTCGAAGAGGCCAGTGAAGGTTAGTGAGTGCTTAGCTTCCTATAGTTCTTCTCTATATCAAGGCTTGCAGAGATATCAGAAACTTGCTCAGCCAACTAATTAAAAGGCTTTGATTCTGATTTCTATGATGCAGATCTAGCCATTTTATGCACCATTTTTCATCATCTTCTCTCTTTTTTCACTGTTTTTTTATCAGAAACATAGCCAACTATTTAAACAAACTCTGATTTACGTGATTTCTTTTTGTGTAGATTTACCTTTGGTTTTGATTTACGTGATTCTCGTTTTCCTTTTGTTAATGTTTATCATTTCACATAGCCAACTAAAAGGCTTTGGTTTTGATTGCTATGATGCGTATTTAGCCTTTCCAAATAACATTTTCATCATCTTTTTTTTTTCACTGTTTTTTTTATCAGACACACAGATAACCAACTGATTAAACAAGCTTTGATTTATGTATTTTCTTTTTTGTGTAGATTTACCTTTGTTTTGTAGCTAGAATTCTCATTTTTCTGTGATGCACATTTAAGCTTTGTATATACCATTCTCATGATTATCTCTTTTGCTTCTTCTTTTTCTCAATCAAATCATACTTTTTGATCATGTTATCCATCCTTGATGAAGAGATATTTAAGATCTGTATGTGTATCATATATTTTCTTGTTAATTATGTATTCACTCTAAACCCTCCTCTCTTCATCATGATCTGCAGGATTCAAGGTACTCAAGCTTTGGATTAATTTTGGAAGAATTCTTGCAAGCAACTAGCTAGAAGATAAAAAAATTAAAAAGTCAGTATGCTCTCTTTGACACTTGTAGTAAGATCTGTGCATGCATAGCATAAACTGTTCAGCATATCCTACTAGCTAACCTCTCTTAGTTGGTAACATGATTTCTTTGACACTTGCAATGCAATATTCATGCATGACACAATTTCCATGCTATACCTCTACCTAATTGTCAGATTTTACAAAATTTTGTTCTTATAGAGGACGACAGTGATGTACAATTACCATTTTAAATAATATTTAATTGTAGATAAACTACAAAATCCGACTTATCAATTAATTTATCAAATGTTTGAACTCGACTTTTCATATAGGATCATGTTTCACTTATTTTGATAGAAAAATCTATGCACACGTGGAGCATGTCATAGCTACATGCATCTTCAAATTAAGAGTACTTTATAATCTTTTATGAACTGAGTCTGAAAAAAGTGAAAAGATTGTAACATACACCTAATTTGAAGATACATATAGTTATGACATGTGTCATATGTTCATAATTAGCATTTACATTAAAAAAAAGAAGTGAAATATTATCCTACTTGAAAAGTCGAGCTCAAATATCTGATAAATTAACATTAAATTTTTGAATTCGACACATTAAAATTTTGCATCCAAGTTATATACCAGACATGCCATAAGCATTTCGTTGGATCTGAGTTGAGTGGTTAGTTGTTGCCTTAAGAACTAGGGTAATGAGAAAGAAACCAATATCGAGTTGATACGTCGAAAAAAACACTGGGTTTAAAATGGCCAATCATCAATTGGTTCGGTGAAACCTGGGGTGGGAAAAAACTCACACCTCTCTCTAGCCTTGCTCCGTCCTCCCCTCTGTCCTCATTCCTCACCTTCAGCCCCTATGTTCTTCCGTCCTATCTTCCCTTTCTCGCCGATTCCTCCTCCGTCTCATCTCCTATCCCATTTCCTCTTCTTCCACCGGCTTCTACAACACCTCTTTCTAGTTGGGTAGAGTCAGGTTATTATCTTTCTTATTGATAACGACCTAATTTTGTTTTCTCCTGCACTACTGAGCGTGTTGGTCGTGTCCACGGCGGTGGTAGTTCGGGTGTTCGTGGTTGTTCGATGTTCATGTCTGAAGCCATTGATCTCTCCGTTGGTTGGATTTAGTTTACTAAGGCATGCCCTTTGGAGGCTTCAACCTCGATCCTTTGGTTTTAGGTTAGTGATGTTGGCTGGCTACAACAGGTGTCGTCAGTGGCCTTGGCGTGGCATTCCTATGCTACGCACGCCACTCTTTGATGTCTTTGCCAAGCACATGGCCTCCAAGTTGAGGCCTTTGCCGTTGCCATTGAAAATTTGATGCACACTTGCCCAAGTCATTGCTTCAGTTTATGGGTAGTTGTCGGAATAATTCAGAAGATGACTTGAAAGATTTCAATTTTTTCATGTGGCCTTGGTGTTCATAGATCTTATATTTTTCCCAGTCAGCGAAAACCCTTGGCGGTTTTTGGTGCTAACGATTTTATACTTGTTACTATGGGCTCGTGGTGGCGACGATGACAATGTCGACGGTGGCTCTGGCGTGTTATGGGATCTACTCTGCCACTTAAGCCCCAAGCCCTTATTTTTCTTACTACCCACGCACCCACATGTTCCTGCAAACCACGCCTTTTGCCATGTCTG